TGTGAAAATGGAGAAAATCAGACCTTCCTGTGCTTCATCGCTAATAACAGTCCTCACATCCCACTGTTATTTCAAGTCATTTCTTTCCCTTGAGATTATGTGAATGGATTATCGATTCCTGTACCTCAAACTTTACTTTACTGGTATTTGTTACCCAAGAGTTCACTGAACATATTTCTGGAATCACAGTTTATAGATGAGCTCTGCAACCCGTACATTCATTTCTTATTTCATAATGAGGTTTTTCATTTTTACACAGCAACCTCATAAAAAGACACATTCTTGATGTTAAGAAACATATGCAATTGTTGCAAATAACTTTGCTGGCCTGCATGCAAGAGAGAAAGAGAAAATTGTAGGAATAAGTCAAGTGCTGGTGAAGAGTAAGCGATTCTGCTTTGGGTGAGGTTTTAGACTAAATGCCTCCAAGATCCCAGTCAGCTCTGGAAGTCTTGTGCAATGGACTGAGTGGTTGTGTCATCCCGAAGTTCATATGTCAAAACTCTAATCCCAATGTGATGGTATTAAGAGGTTGGGTCTTTGGGAGGTGATTAAGTCATGAGGATGGAGCCCTCATGAATGAGACTAGTGCCCTTATAAGAAGAGGCCAGGCAGCTAGCTGGCTGTCTTTCTGCCATGGGAGGACACAGCCTGCAACCCAGAAGAGTCCCTTGCCGAACCCGACCATACTGGCACCTGGTCTTGCACTTTCAGCCTCAACAACTGTGAGATATAAATGTCTGCTTTTTATAAGCCACTTAGTCTATGACACTTTGTTATAGCAGCCCGAACTGACTAAGACGTCTACGAACAGTATGCCCATAAAAAGGGAGAAAAATACCTTTGGCTGTGATTGCTATGACTCTGAGTTTCCCTCAAGTTCTTGTCTGTAGCCATTTTGCTTTGCTGTGGATCATCTGACACTGCACTTTTTAAAAACCAGAGTAGCTTTTCATAATTCACCTGAAAATTAAATGTAAAATAGAACATCTTCATTTAATTTACAGGCCTGCTGGGATAAAATATATTTGGAAAATTTTAACCATTAAAAGCTTTAAAAACTGCCTAAAAGATACAGACACTCCCCAACTTACAATGATTTGACTTACAATTTTTTGACTTTTTCATGGTGTGAAACTATTGCAATTTGGACATAATGTGCAATATTCAATAAATTACATGAAATACTCAACACTTCATTGTAAAANTTTGGACATAATGTGCAATATTCAATAAATTACATGAAATACTCAACACTTCATTGTAAAATGGGATTTGTGTTAGGTGATTTTGCCCAACTGTAGGCTAATGTAAGTGTTCTGAGCAGATTTAAGGTAGGCTAAGCTATGATGTTTGGTAGTTAGGTGTAACAAATGCATTTTCAACTGGGATGTTTTTAATTTACAATCAGTTTATTCAGATGTAATCCCATCGAAAGTCGAACCCGACCATACTGGCACCTGGTCTTGCACTTTCAGCCTCAACAACTGTGAGATATAAATGTCTGCTTTTTATAAGCCACTTAGTCTATGACACTTTGTTATAGCAGCCCGAACTGACTAAGACGTCTACGAACAGTATGCCCATAAAAAGGGAGAAAAATACCTTTGGCTGTGATTGCTATGACTCTGAGTTTCCCTCAAGTTCTTGTCTGTAGCCATTTTGCTTTGCTGTGGATCATCTGACACTGCACTTTTTAAAAACCAGAGTAGCTTTTCATAATTCACCTGAAAATTAAATGTAAAATAGAACATCTTCATTTAATTTACAGGCCTGCTGGGATAAAATATATTTGGAAAATTTTAACCATTAAAAGCTTTAAAAACTGCCTAAAAGATACAGACACTCCCCAACTTACAATGATTTGACTTACAATTTTTTGACTTTTTCATGGTGTGAAACTATTGCAATTTGGACATAATGTGCAATATTCAATAAATTACATGAAATACTCAACACTTCATTGTAAAACGGGATTTGTGTTAGGTGATTTTGCCCAACTGTAGGCTAATGTAAGTGTTCTGAGCATATTTAAGGTAGGCTAAGCTATGATGTTTGGTAGTTAGGTGTAACAAATGCATTTTCAACTGGGATGTTTTTAATTTACAATCAGTTTATTCAGATGTAATCCCATCGAAAGTCGAGGGGCATCTGTATAGTATCATAATTATTAGTACTTTTAATCAAATATCCCTATTATTCTCCCTTCTGGACTAATGGTAAAATTGTGCTTCCTGGTTGCGTTGTGGTTGGGTAGGGCCATGTCACCAGTTCTGGCCAATGAGTTGTGAGCAGAAGAGATGTGTGCCACTTCTGGGTTGAGGATTAAACTGCTGACATAAGACTCTCCAGAGCTCTCTTTTTCCTCCTCTGTCATCACATCCAAAAATATTGCTGAGTAGCTATTTCATCAGCCTGAGTCCTGGAGCTAAGATAATGACAGTGCTGAGACAGACCTGTGGCTGACTCATTATGGAAATGCAATGTGAATAAAAAAATAAACTCTTGTTTTAAGCCGCTAAGACTTTGGGATTGTTACTACAGCATAACCTAGCCTCTAGCTTGTTTCTCTCTCTCTCATTCTTTCTCACATCTTACATATTTATTATATATAATATATGCTTATATTTACATGTATTCAGCAGATATATTCAGATAATCTGGGCACAAGAATTTTTCATGCTAGGTGAAAAATCTAAGACCCTTTTTCTACCTGGGAAAGAACTGAAGGAATGTCATCCATTTCCACTGCTGGGCTGGATGACATCCTAGGGACTCTAGTGGGCACACAACTCCAGGGTAGCAGAGGGAGTAGAAGTGGAGGAGGGAAGCTAGACAGGATCCCTGATGTAAACTAGGTCTCAGGCTAGAAAATTTGGTTAAACTGAAGATTCATACATGTTTGTACTGATAAGTTGGTATTGTATTGCAAAATACTTCTCATAAATATACAACTAATTCTATTAGTTTACATTTATCATATTACTAAATGCTAAGACTACACCTATTAAGTTGGTTTTGGCCTGGTTTTTCAGATGAGATTACTGAAGCATCAGAGAAATTAAGTAGAGTGTGCTCCATGCCACAGAACTAATGCTGGTGGCATTAGGATTAAAACCCAGGCCCTCCTTTACGAAGTTTGTGCTCTCTGTCTATTGCCTCGCTATTGATACATGCTCATTAATGATTGCCCATTGCTATTACTTCTTCCTATTTTAGGATATTTTTCTCTGGCTCCCTGAAGTTGGTTACACTTGGACCACACTTACCTTCAGCCACAAGTGTGAGCTTGGGAAGTGCAGTGCCCAAAGAACCCTGGCCTTTTCATTGGAGAACTGTGCCTCAGTTTCAAGTCTGCCATTATTCCCTAGGTAACCTGAGTTAATTTCTTAACAAAGTCTGGGCCTCAGTTTCCCAATCAATAAAATGGTGGTGATGAACTATATTTCAAAGATACCTCCCACCTCTAACTCTCTACGAAACTGTCATGATACATAGGAGATGTTAATCAAGTTCTCTTCCCAATCAATAAAATGGTGGTGATGAACTATATTTCAAAGATACCTCCCACCTCTAACTCTACGAAACTGTCATGATACATAGGAGATGTTAATCAAGTTCTCTATTCTTACCTTGAGGCCTGCAGACTGAGTCAGCTCATGAATGGACTCACTTGGGCCCATTATCTCAAATCTGTAACTCCCCCAATAGTGTTAGAAGCAGCCAATGAAAGCTAGGACAGGAAAACCCTCTAAAGAGAAATTAAACAGGGCTGAGAGACCTACATCTATCTGACTAGAAATTTCCACACATAAATACAAATAAGCTTTTTATCTTAGGGGTCAATAGTAAAGGTCATTTTCAAGAAAGGAACTAAGTTCTTAATTCTATTACCCTGGTGGGTACTAATAAAAGAAACAAAAGGGATCTACACTTAACATAGCAGGACCGCCATACCATTTCAGGAGAGTCCCTCCTAGAAAATCTCTGGCAAAGAATCTTGACTGTCGGTAACTGTAGAGGAACTTCATGCCTCAAGAAGATGCGGCTTAGCTGAGACTGCAGAAGAAGTCCTGAGGAGATAGGGTCCAGGATTTTCAGCTCTTTCTGAAGCTTGTCTAGTAAGCTGGGACTCAAAGAGTGTGACTTGAGTTCTTTTCTGACCAAAGCAAGAAGAAAAATGTCTTCTCTTGTTCCATTTGGCCTCTGATCGATATCCTAAAACAATGGGGAAAAAAATACAAACCAAAACAACAACAACAACAAAAACATGTTTCTAGAACAAGATGGCTAAAGGTCAAAGCAATAAAGCATATTGGGGCTGGTATCAGAGCACCCACCACTTTCAGGTCTGTTCTAGAACAGGAAGTCGGCCGCATCTGAAGGGAGAATTCAATCTGTAAACTAATTCATTAGTTGACATTACCTCAGATCTTTTCTTTTAGAAGAAAGGAAGCAAATCTGATCAGAGTATGTACTCTGTCAGAAGTCTCTTTAATGTACACCATCTGTCTTTTACAACATAACTTTTTTGACTGTATAAAAACTTAGAATAACAAATCTCAGAGACCCACTGGATCTGGGAGTTTAGTGCTAGGGATGCAGATCAGGATGGTGCCCAGATCCTGACTGAGGTCCCTGGTAGTGCAGCGGCCCTTCCTGAGCTTAGGAATACTTGAAAGGAAGGAAGGTGGAGGGAAGATGGGGAATTCAGTTGAGGGTTTGCTTGTGAACTTCCCCAGGAAGCTTCGTTGAAAGCTAACTGGACCTAGGGCATCTGGTGTCTGTCATTCCATTCTCCAGCTGTCATCTGCTCCATATTAAAATGAACAGTCAACAAATAATATCCTTCATCCACAATAGAAAACAACAACTCTTAGTATACACACCTCAGGTTGGTCAGAGCTGCCTTTCACCATCTGTTCCAAGGACCAGTCTCTATGTTTCCTCCTGGGGAGGCCATGCATATAGGATAGAGACTGGTCTCCAGTTGGTACAGAGCTGCAATGGACATTTGCTTGACTGGGAATCTTAAAGAAAGAAAGACAAATGGAAACAAAGAGCAGAAGAGGAGAAGGAAAAGAGAGAGAGGGAAGAAGAAAGAATATGAGCAAACCAATTAATTCCATTAAACACATGCCCAGTTCTAAATGAACTTCATCCCATGTAGTTAGTCATTGAGTCATTCAATCCCCAATGAAGAAAGCTTGCCTCAACACCAATTCCAACATTGGGAAATTAACACACGTTCAACAGGTATATGAACAATTAGATGTTGCCTCATTTTTGCAAGAAACATGTCTGTGTTAGTTGAAAAAATAGGAAGAACATAAGGTGTTTGTAGGTAAATGTAGGGTTCTTATTAAAAATGGGGTATTTGTAGGCTGTTTTGATCAGCACATTCAGGAAGGGCCACAAAGGAAACTGTGAGCTTTGTCAAGAATGGACTAAAGGAGATAAAAAGCCCAAAATATTATACCCCAAGAGCAATGTTATTAAAGGTTATAATAGAATAAATGTTGGAACTAGAGTCAATGATAAAATCTAGTTCTCTCTTGTCATGGACCACCATAGTGTATTAATCATGTTTTAAAATTTTCTGTATTTTGATGGTTTAACTTTAAAATATTATACCCCAAGAGCAATGTTATTAAAGGTTATAATAGAATAAATGTTGGAACTAGGGTCAATGATAAAATCTAGTTCTCTCTTGTCATGGACCACCATGGTGTATTAATCATGTTTTAAAATTTTCTGTATTTTGATGGTTTAACTTTTTTTTTTTTTTGGTTATGAATTTTCATGGGGTACAAAGCTGACTGTCATCACTCGTGCCCAAGAAGTGATGGCCAGATCCATACTGGCAGCATGCCCATTACCACAAATTACGATTATACCCCATGTCCCCTTCCCAATTAATCACAACCTCCCTCCACATCCGCCTTTTCCCCACTCCACTTTGTATCCCTGGGTATGTTCTCTCCCTCTGCAAGTCCAACGCACCACTGTAGTCTTCTTTTCCTTCCTTCTTTCTCTCTTAGCTCCCACTTATGATGGTTTGACTTCTTGAGAGGCCCATGCTGGCTGGGGGAGACTTTCCCTTCCAGGGCTAGCTAATTGCTAGTGACAGTAAATAACTTGCCTGCTAATACACCTTTCATATGTAAACCAACCAATTGGAGTTCAATCCCATGGCCACCTTCTTTATCTAACTCACACATAAAGCCAGTATTTCCCCTGCCCTAAACCAACCCAGGACTAGGTTCCAGACAACTAGGGACAGCCCCCATGCCTTGTTCCTCCTTCAGCCTCCTGACAGAACAGAATGTGGTGCTTTCCCATGTGGCCCTGTGTGGTGTGGTATGCCCCCTACTCTTGGGGAATGTAGGTAACTAACTCTCCTTTCAAAGACAGTTGTCTCCATGTCTATTACCTTACCATACCTGATTAAAAGAGAATCCTGGGCACAAGTCAAGACACATGGTTATTTTTCATATCAGGTAATTGAAAGGAGACATAATCATAAGGACTCTCTGGAAACTGAGTGCCTGTACTCAATTGATAGCCATGTTGAATAACCTATCAGTGTAGACAACAACCTGTACATGCTTTGTAGTCATGAAGTATTTTTTTTTTCCTTTTTGTCTTTTTTACTGACTGGTAACGGGATCGCAACCCTTGGTGCTGCGCTCATACCAGGGACCGGAAACGGGATCGCAACCCTCGGTGTTGCGCCCGCACTTTTTTTTTTTTTTCCTTTTTGTCTTTTTTTACTGACTGGTAACGGGATCGCAACCCTTGGTGCTGCGCTCATACCAGGGACCGGCAACGGGATCGCAACCCTCGGTGTTGCGCCCGCACCGTGCTCAGCCAGTGAGTGGGAACCATTCTCCACATGGGATCCGAACCCTCGGTGGGAGCGCCGCTGTGCTCCCAAGTGGCACACTCTCCAGTGCGCCACTGGGCCGGCCCGTCATGAAGTATTTTAAGGAAACATCAAGAGTTCTCTAGAGTGGCTGGAGTGGGCAGTAATGACAAAGAGTTCTAGAAGAGGATAACAATAACACTTTATTCATCACATACTCTGTACAAAGCACCATATGGGTGCTTTGCTTATGTTATTTAATATAATCCTTACAACCACCCTATGAAGTAGGTAGAATTAGCACCCTTTTACATTTGGAAAGCCGAGGTGTACAAAAGTTAAACAACTTTATTCCTTCATTTCAGAAATATTTGTGACTTGCCTAATCTGGCCAGGCACTCTGATAGGCCTTAGACTCAGTTGCACAGAGCTTGCAGACAGTGTGGGACACACAGTAAGCAACCGTGACAGTACGGTATGGGGTGGTAAGGGTGACTATCAGAACAGTCTACAGGCCACCCAACCTGGACTTGGAGGTCCAGGTATGGAGGAAATGACTTGCAAGTGTAGGCTTGAAAGATAAGTTAGATTTGGTTTTGGATAAGCTAATGAGTGGGAGGGAGGAGAAGAAGAGAAGAAAGAAGATTAGAGGAAAAGAGAACTGGATATAAAAACTTCAAAGGTGCACACACCTTTGTAAGAAAGAGAGGTCGATGATCTCAGAGCATAGTTTAGTTTTGGGGAAAGGAAAAATAGGGCTGGAGATGCAGGCAGGAGAAAGGCAATGAATTACCTTTGAGCCTTGTTACCATCTATGATTTGTTCTGAGGGCAATGGGGAGCCATGTAAATGTTGTTAATAGACCAATTACTAGATCAAATGTGTTCAAAATCTACTCCCTAGTAAACTGTGCAGATAAGATTTGAATCCTGCTTTTCAGTACTACCCTAGGATTACAGAGATTCAACATTCAGTTCACAGAGCAATTTCACTCTCAAGGATTTAGTTAGGTATTTCAGACACATTGTTCTCAGAAACAATGTGCAAAGAGAAACAAAATATAAACAGGTCTTTTTAAATATTGCTTATAAATAAAACTATTTTTGAGTGGTTACATTGTGGAAGTCATGAACACTCTCCTCCAAGCCTAGTGAACACAACTGATTGTCTTAATGTTGTGCAACGGGTAGCTGTGGCTTAGGAGAAAACTTCCAGAGACAACATCAAATGCAGATTGGAAAGTTTTGTTTTCAGAAAATAGGTTTCTGGGCCGGCCCAGTGGCGCACTGCTATAGTGCGCTGCTTTGGAAGTGCTGCGGCGCTCCCGCCAAGGGTTCGGATCCCACATACAGACCGGTTCCCGCTCACTG